TCCCAAATACAAGTTTGTAAATTAAACACAAAAGAAACCTTTTTCTGCTCTTCATGACCACAGCCTCTGGTTGAACTAACCAAAACTTCACTAATATAAATAATCTTTAGATAAACTCTCAATAAGATAACCTTTTTCATAAAACGAGTAATTTATAAAAAGCTCAAGTTCGACCAGAGCCTCTGGTTGTACTAACCAGAGCTTCTGGTTCAAAAGACATGACCAACCAGAGCCCCTCAGTTTCAACGTGTTAGTCAACCAGAGCTTCTCTGGTCTATTTTTCATAAAAAGACTAAGTATAAAAAACTCTTTCCAAAAACCATTTTAAAACAATGAATCAAATCACTAAGCTTTCTTCTCAAGATATAAAGCTTATTTTTCCAAACCAATAAATCTTATAAAAGATTTTTCATAAATAACCAGCATCCTCTGGTTCCATTATGAAAGTCAATCAGAGCTTGATAGGATCGATTAACTCAGTTTTTGGATATTAATCAAATACTCTGAATGATCTTTAAACATTAACGCTGCAACGGAAACAATAAGAACAAACAGAGCAAATAATCAATGATGAACACAGTTGATGAAATAAGAACAATGAGAGAGTAGCTTCAAATGATTTTCAATTGATTGAAAATGTTACAATACGATATGGAAGCACACTGAATTACAAAGGCCTACGCKGCTATTTATACTCGTTCCTAACGGCTTTTCTGACATGACCTAGACGTACAAATTCATCTAAGTCGTTCAAATAAAGCAGATTACAAACATAGTCACGTGATAAGCACGAGCAGCTAAATAACCTAAGTAAAACAGTAAAGAAGTTCTTTACAGAAGATAAAGTTGCAGACCCTCTGTGAGCCATCCCAGAGGCTCTGCTGGATATGACTTGAGAGCACTTGATTCCAGAGGATCATCTTCCAGAACCTCTGTGATAGACAACATAGGTTCTGTCATCTTTGACTTGTACGCTTTGATTACAGAGGACCAGTTTTCAGGACCTCTGTGATTGACAACAGAGGTTATGTCACTCTAGACTTGTATGATTGAACATCTTCTGTTATTGGTCCTCTATGGTCTTATGTGGTGGAACCTCTTCTGTCAACACTTGCAGTATTTACTTTTTCCATNCATTGATGGGCAAAACTTATGATACTTAAAAAAATGATCAAAATAAAGAGACTTCAAAAATGAGATAATTTTCTATGTTTTTACATGGGTTATAGCACTGAGTTATAGTCATCGTGACCAAATTTCATGTATTTTGGACATGCAATAATGATTCAAATAATTTATGCAATACAACTTATCACTACTGAAATGGCAGATTACACCATGTTACTAAAACACTCATTAAAAGAGTTCTACTAAGTGTTCTGCAGAAATTGAAGTTGGATTATCAACTTAACACTTATACGAAACTTTCAAAAAATCACTCATTTTGGATGAGTTAAGAGGAAGATATGGTACCATAAAGTTACATGCACACATCTGTCATTAGTTGACAGATTGCACACTTAACTTAAATAAATTGGTTAATGCCTCAAAACTTCATATTTTTGAGTGAAACTGGATTCATACGAACCCTAACTCATAAAATAACATTTTAGAAGAAGAATCATACACTAATAACAAATAAGTAGAGAGATATTAGCATACAAAGTAGCAGTTACCTGCTGATGGTATCACAGTTTTCACACCTATAGTGTTTTAGGTGTTTGGGGATCAAAACTCAATAATTTCATGTGATTCCACTTGCATGAAAGAGATAACCCATATAGTTAACTCTTAAAAGAAGAATCATCCTTTGTCATCGAGTTTTGAAAGAGATATGGACATTGGAACATACATAAACAAATCTTTCGGATTCGGACAGATTGCATGTTCACTTTGTTTTGAGTAGTTAAAACCTCAAATCACCATCATATTGAATGAAATCGGTGGCATTTGAAAGGTAACTCATTAAAATAACATCCAGAAGAAAAATAAATGAATTTAAATAACTATCTAGAGAGTTATGGCTGTTTAAAGTAGGGTTTACCTACTGAAAACTCTCAGATGCACATATATAATGTTTTGAGCATTTGGGGGGTCAAAACTCAATGTGTTTTAGTGAGACCAATTGGATTACAATCCCAACTCAATAAATAAACTTTTAGAAGAAAACTCATAACATTTGGACATAACATTTACAAGATATAGACGATTTGTGCACATGCACATAATCTGTCAGCACCAAAATATAAGATTTTTAAGAAATAAACTCACATAAAATCATGATTTTACCTATCTTTTTGAGTTCTAATATTTGGGTCATAGATTACCACCATCATATAAACATTTTTACATGTTTTTGGTGTATAATCTCTCCTTAAAACTCAACATTTTCGGAATTTAGAAGATAGAAGATGAAGAGTGCATAAAAAGTGGGTTTTTCTCCCAAAACTTACAAGAAAAAGAAAGMGATGAGTGTGTTACCTTGTTTGTGGATGAAATGGATGAAATATCTTCAAAACTCTTGCCAAAATGATGAAGATTAAGTTGAAAATCGGCTGAATGAGATGGAAGATGATGATGTTAACTCAAGGTGACTCTTGAGTTTTTAGGGAGAGAAAGGAGAGGAGGTTTTGAAAATTGAAAAGAGAGTTATGAGTAATAAAGAAGAATGATGTTTTTTATATGTGGCCAAGGGAGGGAAAGAGAGGGGGGAAAAAGGCCGGCCATAAGGCCCAAGCCCACCCTCACACATAATTTTTTTATAAACAGAAAGCCCAAAATGCACAAAAGGCCATTTTCTCAATTTTGACATTTTTCTTCAAATTAAAAGCCCACGATGACTAAATTTATTTAAATAGAAAGGTTTTATATTTAAAACACTAAAAATTAGTGTTTTATATATATTGGGTATAAATTAGAGCATTTGGTACTATATAGGACGTTTCAGATAATTTCGGGTCGGAACCGGACTTTCTAAGCAACTGCCAGAATATCTAAAACATTTTTCAACCAAACTAACCTAACTAACTCCTAATCTTATAAATTACCTTCAATAACAATAATATAATCTTAATAAGAGCTAACCTGGGAGTTCGAATTTGACGGCTGTCACAGTCTCCCCTTGTTAGAAAAATTTCGTCTCGAAATTTACTTGCTCACTCCAAGTCAAAGCTTGTTAACGAAAAGATGTGGGTACTTGCTTCTCAGGGAATCTTCTCTTTCCCATGTATATTCCGGTCCATGCCCGAAGTCCAATGAACTTTTACAATTGGGATTTGTTTGTGCCTCAACTGCTTAACCTTACGATCGAGAATTTCGATCGGCTCCTCTATAAAACATAGTCGTTC